GCGTTCGCATCCTGCCCTTAGATTGGGTGGCTGGTGCAATATTAGTCTTGATTCGCACCACAGCAGTTCGAGAATGTGCTATGACGTTTTGTCGCAACATTCAACAAGATCGTATCCTGACCCCTCGAAGCAAGATCCTGGAAACAACCCCCCGAAAGTCGCTTGCTCGTTCTTTCGCCGTATACGTCCCTCGCATCATTCTGATATAGATTGAGCATCCTACTATAATCTCACGCCACCAAGCAGTCGGGGAGTCAAAGCTCAAAGAGCTAAAAGACTTCCGTGCTGATCAGCGGCTGACGAATGTTTGTCGACTTGAGATGGCAGAGCTATCAGGAGCTATGGCACCTGGGGATCTCGGTCTAATCAAGGTAGCATCGAATGCTATCGGGACTCTCGAATCTGCAGTAGCAGCATCTCGGCCTCCATATTAGGACTGCGAAGGTACCGCGGGGAAGGTATCTCCGGCCTTCCCACAAGATGTAAGCTGTGCTTCAAGCCAGCCGCCACGAGATGAGTCGGGGCCTAACTATGTGACGGTTGATCGAGGTTGACCACGACATTTGTAAAGGCCGGCGGCCGAGAATTACTTGCCACGCCCAACAACTCTCACATCGACCATTGCAGCTCACCAGCTGTGAAGCTTGGTGGCAGCTACCACACGGGCCCTCAAAGGGTACTCCGTACGTTGGCTTGAGTTGGGGATGACGCCGTTCGATTCAGCCTTTTGCCCCCATGGACGCCTCCAACAATAAGTACGGTCTTCAGTCAGCCACTCTTAGTCAATCGAGTTCTTTCGTCAAAAGCCACTGCTCCCTCAAGCTTAGTTCAAACCCGTTCAAGCACCTGTTACAGGTTCATGCCAAGACGCGGCCGTCGCATGGAAATGAGACATCTTCTAAGCCGGCAAGCCGGAGCAACGGACGTGCGAGCCTCCATGGCGTGGTGGCCAGAGCGTGTTCGTCTGCTTAGCCCCGAAGGCCGACGCAGGTCCCTGAAGATCATCTTTTTCCGTCTCGATCCGGGGATGGGTGAGAAGAGTCACTTCGTCTGCCTATTGGCTGGTGAAAGGTCATATCGAATGGTCTATCCTCACCCGGCCCTTTTTCTTCGTGAGATTAACGAACTATTACCTTATCAAAAGAGAGATCGAGACGACCTGGGATCTTCCGCTAGTGTGCCTGCAGAGAGACCGGTAGATGATTATATCTGCCAAGTGCATGTCTCATAATTCATTGCCGCCATCATTCGAAGAAGTTAGCTAACTATTTCCGCCGCTCCAACGGTGAACGAGAAACCGCTCAACCGCTGGAGGAAACGCGACAAGGAATAAGTGATCGACAAAGAACAAAGATCCAATTTCAAAGTTCCTAAGTCAAGCCTGGCTAGGGCCAGCCGTTCATGCCGTTCTAGAAAAGGGGCGTATGAGCCTTTTCGTTGCCATAGGTTTTTCGGACGCTATGCCGCGTACAGTCGTCAGGCAGCAAGCTCCCGCCGATCGGGATAGCTTTTCGTCGTCGGAGCAGACCCTGATTCATGAATCGCGTGGTTGCTAGGGTCCATGGACTGATTGCCAGGCTTTCCTCGGCCGAAATCGCACTGCACTGAGCAGTTGGGACCTTTTGCTAGAGATTACCTCAAAAAAGTCCACCCCCGGTGCTGATCACGAATGTCCGGTGCAACGGATATTCAGGAACCCGGGACGAATCGAGACAAGACAGAACAAGATCGACGAGAAGAAAGAATCATTATACACAAAATTCGATATATCAGAGACAACCCGGCGGGATTTAAAGTTTATTATGGTCGGTATCTGATTGCCGAGCTCCGCATTAAATAATTAAAGAATGCAAAAGGTCCATGATTTTACATTCTCTTACTGAGGCGCATAAACAAATGCCAACCTGTCAATCTCATCCCCGTCCCGTCCCAAGTATCCGACAATCTGCCATCCCGAAGGCGCCGTGTGCGTCGCGCAATCCGACGTCGTCGTACCAGCCGCGACCGTTCGGCCCGTGCTGGTAGTCGCCTGGATGTAAAAGTTGCGCGTCTCGTTGCTCTTCTTGCCCCAGCAGAGCTTAGCAGCGGTCCAGTACTCAGTCGCAGCAAGCGTCAGCGTCGCGGCCGTGCCACCGGTACCGCCGTGTGTGAAGACGGTGCCGTCGGCGAGCGTGACGGCGACGGAGTCGAGGCGGTCCGCGCCGCGGAAGGTCAGGACCGAGGCCTTGGGCTTGGACTTGCTGGCGAGCGCGGGCAGGTCGGAGAACCAGTCGCCGTGGGGACCGCCGGAGAAGTCGGATTGGCGTAGGGTGGAGGAGAGGGACCAGGTGAAGTTTGCGGTGATGGGGTTGTGGTCGGTGAGGATGCTGCCGTTGGACTGGAGGAACTTGCTGCTCTCGTAGTTGAAGTAGGTGGCTTCGAGGTTGACGACGGCGTTGCCACGGTAAAAGGCCTTGTCGACCGTCTCGCAGTAGTTTGTGGTGCTGGGGTTGGCGCAGAGGGTCTCGACGGTGGGCACGACGCCGGCGCGCTCGAGCTGGAGCCAGACGTCGCGCATGCCGTTCTGCGAGGCGAAGACGCCGATCTGGTCCGACGTGCGGGTGTAGCGGGAGTTTGTGTCGCCGAAGACGAGGACGGCGTTGCCGACGGACCAGGTGTCGATGTAGTCGGCGACCTGGTGGAGGTTGCTGTTACGGGCCGTGAGGTCGCCCGCCTCGGTGCCGGCGTCGGTGTGGAGGTTGTAGACGTCCACGTAGACGCCCTCGGCGACGCGGAGGCGCATGAAGGTGAAGCCCTTGGGCGTCAGGCAGTCGGATCCGGAGGCATTGGAGCAGGTTGACCACTTCACGCGCTCGAATTCGATCCAGTCATAGTTGGCGAGGGTGTTGAGGCCGGAGCCGAGGGGCACGCCGCCGGAGGTTGCGGTGCGGTAAGGGTGCGTGTCCGTCTCATAGATGTAGGCGTGGTAGTTGAAGTCCTGTTTTCGGTATGTTAGTTATAGTACTGTTTTGCTATTTTCTGCCATTTCTTGGAGGTTCATGGCTAATGATAGCAGTAGAGTTCAAGCTTGAAACAGTGACAGATGGGAAATGCTGGGATCGCGAGTCGTGGATGTCCTTGCATTGACGCAGGGACGGAGCAACATGTGGCTCATGCGCTTTCCCCAGGACCCCAGCCCACGCGGTCAATAGCAAGAAATAGCTTTTCAGTTGTCGGGAATAGATTGCTGCTCTTGTGCAAAGACTCACCTCTTGAACGTTGATGATGTCGTAGTTGTACTTGGCGAAGTACGATCCGATGGTTCGCGAGTTGGTCGTCTTGTCGCCGGGCACCTCGTTGTTCTGGAGGATCTCGGGCAGGCCAGCGACGTTCATGGCGAGGATGGTGAGGTCGCCGCTCGTCTGGGCCAGAGCGCCGGAGGAAAGGGCGCCTCCGGCGAGGAGCATCTTGAGGCTGGTGGGCTTCATGATAGCGACTGGATCTTCTGCTCGTTTCGCAACGTGGGATGTTTGATCGGACGGAGGGAAGGGAAGAAAGATCGACGGGCGAGCGAGAGGGACAGAGCGGCGCTGGCTGGAGACGAAATCCCAACTACATGCGAGAGAAACGGCGAGCAGTGGTGATATTTAAAGGAACCTTTTTCCCATCAACTCAAACGTAATTAACTATGAACTCCCCTCTTGGCAACACGAGGCGAACCAGACATAAACACCCTGGTTAACTTTCACACGATGTGGCATGTGCTAAAGAACCAGGGCTACAAGCAAGATTACAACAGCTTTACAGTTGAATTTGGGGAAGGTGACAAGCAATAGGCACAACGTGATCTACATTTGACTCGTGATGGGTGGAACATCTTTACGGTGGTTGATGCTCATCTCCCTCGAACCCCTCACTGCCGCGGCACTGGTGCCCAAATCGGTCGTTCTACCCCGTCCTTATCGACGTATCGACATGACGATGTAACCTCTCCCACCGGTCAATGCTGCACATGTCCGGGCCGTTAGATGCGGAGCGGTCGTAAAGGTCGGACAAAGGGGGAGCAGCACCGGACGAAAAGATGGAATATGGTATCCGTATAATATCGACACGAAATATATACACACGTGCGGTGAAGTAGCATCGCTACACTCAATAATGATACTCCATTGGCATGACACGTTTTTATCAATTTATTGAAATTAGGCATGGCAGACATGCTGACCGTGCATATCATAGAGAGAGGGGGGAGTTATACTCTGAGGTAAACATATTGTCCACAAGTATAATTAGACGGTCAGCTGTTTAGATGACACTGATTACCTTGATGGAGCTACAAAACGCACTTGGATAGAATTAGATACCGACCGCTGTGCAGGGGCTGGCTTTTTCAAGGTTCGCATAGTGGTTTTCCTCAATCCTGTGCTGCCCGGCAGGCTCAAAAGTTGCACGTGGATCCACGTGGAGGGTCTTGGCTATGAGATTCGTCGACGAGGGGTTCTCCTTGTCGAGACTATTTCTTCAAACGACCTGGCCCCCCACGAGGGGCAGATATTCTCACGACGTTTTATCGTCCCTCGGCGAACCAGCCTGAATCCTGGGGTTCCTCAACAACACGTTTCTTTTTCTCTTCGGTCAATAACTTCCGTCGGCCGAGTCTGCCGAGAAGGAGTCGCGAGTATCCGCAAACTGTAGGAAAACAAGGGCAACTCGGCTCAAGCGTTCGGTGCCGAGTTAGGAATGGGTCGAACACGTTCAGTTGATCTCATTTTTTGAGATGGAATGACGTGTCTATGCGGAGGCGCAGATTGCACCATCCGAGTTTTACCGGGCGAACCATCATCATGCCGTTTCTGCGGCGATGCAGCAGAAGAAGACGAAGTCATCTCGCTCTCGGTAGGCATCCGTTGGCAAGATTCGGAACGACCTTGCGACGGCTCGGCTTGCGAAAGAGAAAATGCGACTTGGCGGAGGTGCGGTGGTGGGAACCGGCCACTCGGTGCCTTTGGGTCATTTCTGGGTCAGACGAAGCAGAGGATGGCCCGTCCGTCGTCGGTCCTCCCCGCCGGCGACTTTGTTTCGGCGCTGCCATGGTATGGCCGGGTTTCGTAACGGCCGTTGGGCCCCCAACCCTCGAACCCGGTGTCGTTTTGCGAGTCGGCGCGCCGAGGTCCGAAGGAGAAGAAGACGTGCGGAGCCTTGAACTTTTTGCCCTTCGCAACCGGTAAGTTCCATGGACCCGAGCAGCTGGGTCGGCGCTGAGTTTCACTCTCACTCTCTACTTGGGTCCAGCTAGGCTGATGCGGTACCAAACTATGATTCTAAACCAATTTGTGGCTTTTCCACGTACCCATAGATCTGGGCCCGTTTGCTGCTGTGGCCGGCATCGTGGTAATGAAAGCCGTCGTTATCGAATGTTGCATAACCCCGAGCTTTCCAATTTTAGAATAGAATGCAGTTTAGAGTATTGTCCCATGGTGGTTGGGAACGTTGGAATTCCAGTTTGAGAGCGTGGTAAAAAAGCCACAGTGGGGAGATGAACCCATCGTTGCCATGCTAACTTTGGTCGCCAAAACCGAGAGCCTCGAGAGAGGCGTGAGAAAGAGCGCCCCGAGAAAAGCATGACGCCCTTTGTTCCTGGATGGGTGTTTGGGGCTAAGAAAGTTTGGTGCCACACGGCGTGGCGCCACGGATGGGTTCCTGACATGATTTCTTGGCTGCTAGCTAGCCTCATTTCCATGGTTCATGACGAGTGAGCGTAATCGCGAGCGCGACCGCGTTGACGAGACTACGGCTGGTTGTCCACTAGTTGTTTTGACAAACTTTGGTAGAAGTGGTTTCGTCACGATACAAGACCATCATCATGACTCAACGGAGCTGATTTTCAATGGTCAACATCCTCTATATGCAACCGTTCAGACGTCACTCTATTCACGTAGCATCGCCTCCATGAGCAGAGGGAGGCAAACTTCTCCCTGTGAAGCCTGGAAGGGAAACCACTATTTCCAAGGCAGGAGACAGATAAGACAGCTGAATCTGAGCCTTGGTGCGGATAAGGGAGGGTGAGAGAGGGCAGGACTCTGACTCGGTGCTTGTTTGGGAATGTCTGCGCACGGCCCTAGCGGTGATCAGGGACCGCCAGGCGAGCTTTGGTCGGGAGGACTGAGCTCCGGGTCTCAGGATGGTCTTGAGCAACTCTTCATGCGGAGGGATGATGTGATGCGATGGGGGGCAGTGGCAGGCAAGTTGGGAACAGACAAGACGCGGGTTCCGTGGGCCTTCCTGGCAATGGGGGTTTCCTGCGTTGTGAGATTTCGCATATTGGCCACAGTATGTGATTATGCTTTGCGATGGATGCGGTTGTGGATGCGGAAACGGGAGGTCATAGTGACTGGTGTTATTGACACTTTTCGGGGTCGACGTGAGACTATCTTAGCCCTACAAGGCACCACAAGCCGACGGTCTCGTTCGATAGACGGATGGATCAGGTGGTATGTCCGGCAATCCTTTTGGAGGGCTCTCATGGATGGGCCGAATTTGAAATCTTTCTCTCGATTCCGGGGGCATTGATCTGAATGAGCATCACGGCCGTTGATCTTGGTGATCGATCATCACTAGGTCATTCACGATCGCTTGGGGTAAGTCCAAAGGCCTGTTTCGAGGTCCAGCAAGTTGCGGCAGAGGAATGAGACTTGAGGCCTTTCAGCTGGCATCGTGATGGTATTTGCCGAGAATTCCCAGTGCCGTCCGTTTACCAAACCAGTCGTAAGCCAGATTGGCGAGTCTCATGCATGCCTCTGCGATCATATGATGATATTTGCATGCAATATTCCTGACCAAACGGAGAGGGTCCAGACCGTAACATTTAGTTACCATCCGGCCATTTCTTCGGTGGGGCCCCGTCTTTGACAGCGGCATGCCAGCAAGGGAATCTTGCCCTTCTGTCGATGGACTACAAAGTCTCTCCTCGAATCGCCTGGAGTGGTACAGTGTCAAACGGTACCGTTCGAGGGTGTGGGGTCTGAGTTGGTGAAACGGGCCGGACGCTATTCGTACACTACACTCCATCTTCATCACCTTTTCAGGTGATATTAAGCATGATACGGTTACGGTCGGTCGGTTTGTTTTAGACGGGTTCTTTTTCACCCCTGTTCTGGACCCCGATGAGCGCTGAAATGGATGGGGGATAGAGGTAGGCCTGTCCATGTTGAGGTTGCTTGCGTGATATGCGTGAAATCAGCGAAAACTTCGGCACACTCGGACGGGTCATGATAACGGGTTCCTTGGAAAGCTTGGGTTGGCGATCTCTACTGTGTAGTCTGCGCTCAGTCTTACCCCTCTGCCCTGCCATGAAGGCGGGCCAGAAGATCTGTCCGGTTACCGGTTGTCAATAAGCCCTGAAAGCTTTGATGTGGAGCCTTGCGCCCGTTTTAACGTATCCTTATAGAATTCGTCATCGCGATGCTTGGCGATTGTGGAATTGGAGCCGGGTCCAAGAGCAAGGGAATCGAGAATCCGGAATGAAGGACTATGAAAAAGCTGGAAACATGGGAACAGGTAGGGTGTTGCGTGGGCGTGATGGAGTTGCATATGCAGTGGTGGGGAGAGCGATGCAGATATCGAGGTGCTTGTGGGCAGGGGGTATCGCTGACAATTGTCTCGGGGCTCTCCCTGTAGGCAGCGATGAGGACAAGCTGTTGAGATCGCTCGACGAGATCAAAGCTCCTTCACACCAACGCCGGCTGGAGAAACTTGCGAGGACAGGACCATCCCCGCTGAATCCACGTTTTCTTCCTTTTTTTGTCCGATGCGTGGGCTTCTGGGAAGACGTTCATGCGAAACTGGGCACATCACATCTCAGGCTGGGATGACCACAGTGCGTTTCTGCTATCTTGCCTCTAGTCCAGAGCGAAGTAGAACAGGATGCGTGGTTACACTCCGGAACACGCCGGTAGTAAACGGCGATTGCTGCGGTACCTATTGTTTCGCGAGCGTCTAGAAAACGTGGAGAAAAGGAAAGTGATGGATCCAAAAGGTGAGCTAAATTACATGATATCAACCGGACCAAGAAGAGACAATGGGTCTGTGTGCATCTGAACTCTCGGGAAAAGTCAAGCAAAAAGTTGAGTTGACTTTTTGAATTTCCCCTCTTCGAGAACATTGCTGATTTGAGATGCCACAAAGCGGACGCTCCGAAAGTCAGCCTTCCGCCCACCGGAGGCTCTTGGTTGTACTCGGAATGGACTCGGTGTGCCGGAACGGATGTGGCGCTGGGGTCCGGAGCAGGCTCCGGCTTCTCCCACTCGCCGGCTGCACCGCCGCCCATCTTCCCGATCTTCCAAGACAAAAATGACAACGCCACAACCCAGTCGATATACGTAATCGAGATGAAATACAAACAAACGCATTGAAAACGTGACGTGAAGGTCATGTTCATGTTCATCATATCTGATGGAGCGTCATTTCTTCTTCCTTGCGTTTGGGCCTCCCCTGGTTGCCAGCGTCCGATATCACATTCATCCCACCAGACGCGTTTCACGAACCCACGCAGCACACAGTAGACATCTTTGCTCTTCTCCTCCGCCTCTGACAGACTTGCTCCATCTGCACCGTGTCCGTGCGCTCAAGGATCACAAGTTCAACTTGACTTGTAGCAATTCCCGACGACGAAGACGACCCTCGGCTTGCACCCTGCTTGCCCCTCTCTTCTGACCTACCCGGACTCAAGATATGAATGCGGACTGAGGATCACAGCGTCATTCCATCACATCGCAGACGGGCCTTTCAATAATCGTTAGTCTCATATTGACCAGGTGTCAAACCGTAAGCGAAGGGCACCTTGGAGTAAGAAAAGCAACGAGCTTCCCCTCTTTCCCGCCTAGTTCCCTTGCGTTCGCTTGACCATGCGGGGCGGCGGCCAACACCTGGCATCATCACAAGCAGCTGAAGTGGACGCGCGGGGGTTCCATTTCTGCAAACCCATCCAAGCTCCAGCTGTCAATGCGGCCGATGAGGGCGCGGCGCGCGGTTTTGGTCCATCAAGAAGCAGAAGCGGTGGAGGGATGGATAGCCTGCCGTTTTTCTTGCATCCTTCCCGCACTGACCCTCACTCCAAAATAGGCCAGGACTCAGAATAACACCCTTGTCCCTGATGGAGCCCTGTCTAGGCCCTGGTCAATAATCTCGTCGTATTAAGAGCTGGCATCGTGGCTGTCAGGGTTCGTGATGCGTACCTTCAGACAGCGGCTGGGGGTGTAAATAGATGGAACTTCAAGGAACCTGGGAGGTGGATGAGCAAGAGATAGTCTGGAACGAGGGAATTCGATTAAAAGAAGGTGAGAAACGTGCTTCGGCGTCGAGACCGGATTGACGCGGTTAGAGAGTATTGATTGCTGCAGGCCAGGACACACGAACCCCCCACTGTGACGCCCACCGGGCCACCGTTGAAAATTGAGATCATCCAGGAACATTCCCTCAAACTCTTGATTACATGGGTGGAATTTTGCTTGTATTGACCGATACGTCCTAGTCGGCATATCAGGGTCTTATCAGCTACCGCTGCACACGATCACGAATTGCCGTAACATCATCACTCGTGATTGTGCGATGCTGGACTGCTCTAGAATGAAGTAATAATTGCTCTCATGCCATAGTGAGTGCTGTTGACATCCCGCATATGGACTTAATCTCTGCCCTTGAGTAGACGTACAGGTATGCGATGCAACGTTCGGCGAAGCGATCGGGACGTGGGCGACAATGGTATTGCTGCATAATGGCTTAGGAAGACTTATCACTGTAACAGAGGCAAGATAGTATTGCTATAACTTTACTTTTCGGCATCGCCCGGTCTAAGAGCCAAGCCTCTACATAAACCTAAAGGCGAATTTTCTCGCTATTTGCCGAACATCAGACGGAGGAAGAAAAAGGCCTGGCCTTTCTGACCGTCGCTTGTCTGCCGATGACACATTGGTAGGGAGACCACATGGCAACTTGATCATCCGAAGACGAAGGAGGCTCCTCTCCGTTGAGGAGAGAAATCTCCACCCCGCGCCTGGCTGCTGAAGCGAGGGGACTGCTCAGCAGGCTCGCGTTTCAGACCGCGCCGCTGACAATCAGTTCGGCGACTTGTCCACTCTGGGACTTCTCAAAAGGGTTTCTGTTTATGCGACTACAGAGTTTGTGAGACGGTGAATATGTTCAAGTGATTGTCCGTTGCCGTGTGCGACAGAAGCAAACTGATGGGCGTTTGGAACAGGTTGACGTTTTGTTACGGTCGTCATACGCGTTTGGGAGGGTATATCACCGGTCTTCTAAACCTTATAAACGTATGATGAATCTCTTGAAATAGTATCGGTGATTGGGATCATGCATGACACCATGATGTAATAGCGACTTACAGACAGTATTAACAGTGGAAAGTCCTCGGTAGTTAGGATGGCGGCGACCAATATTCGGAGAGTTTCGGGGTGACAGCTGGTTTCAAGGACTGAGAACGATAGCACAGCAGTTAAGTTGCTTACGATGCGACGCTGAAGACTGGAAGTCGCATAGCATTAGGCAAACTCTTAATGGATGTTTCGCCACGCTTGAAGGTAGCTTTTCCACAGGTTGAATGGCATCAATAGAGCTGTTAGATTCATATCATATGATCATTGCCATATTCGGCCCGTCGACGATCTTGTTAAGGACTGGGGCAATCGTAGTCGCCAAGTTATTTGAAGTTGTTAATAAGCGCTTAGATGAAGTATGATTGTCAAAGTGTGGTCAGTCATTTCATTCTGCTACTAGACGCATGCCTGCCTTGGACGGGTTCTGTTATTTATTGAGCACTTTGACTTGCCTTGGCTGTATATTGAGTACGAAGTGAGTGCTAATATAGTTGCCACTTCATGGCTGTAATTCGCATGGCCTTGGTATTAATCAAAGTCAGCGATCATTAGCGTTAAGATTTATTAACACATCTCAATGATAGTGGTCTTTCCATGAATCGTGGAAATGAGGGTCTTTCTTTGCGCGCGAATTAATATCAAAGCTCTTGCCAAGGCTTCGTAATTGTAATCTGAAACGGCGACTTACTTGTCATCAAAGTATCGTAAACAAATCGATAGATCGGTCTAGTTACTAGAGACATATTGCAATTGTGGCGATGTATAGAAGGTGTCTGGCCCCAAATTCTGACTATGATACAAAGTGGACGAGATCATGAAGTGGGTGGCTCAACCTCGCCAGTGTTTTCGTGCCATAGAATAGTAGACTAACCATCAAGTATCAATACCGCGAGCACCTTCAAGGTCTGGGTCGATGATGGCAACGTTTGTCGTTTCCCTAGATGCTAAGTTGAATTGAATGCATGCTCGATATTGCGGCATCACCTCCTTCTATAGCAAGTCAATGACACCTCACACCAGTGGTTCTAAGCCGACTGTTCATGTTGCCCAAGCGATGTTGTACAGACTCTCAACGCACTACCGAGGTAGTATGATCGCAACCTATGGGAACAGGTTTCGAATGGTTTGCTTTGGCACCAAGGGAATATCACATGTAGTTGGGTAACGACTTGACACTAATCGCCATGGAGCGATCCATGCCACTTGTCAAAGTCGGTCTGTATAGATCATTTCACCTTTGTACTCTCTATCAAGCTTCATGTGAGACGTCACCACTTTTTCCGTTGCTACCTTCTAAGCATGTTCTAGCCCTTCAGGATGCACGGTCAAACAAAAAACAATAGTCACAGTCTATAATTCATGAACGAACCCGAACAGACGAGGTGTTTGTCGCCTTAAATTTCAAGTATAAAGAGTAAACCCTTTTTTTTTTTGCGCTCATCTTGCTCAACCCCATGCTGGAGGTCTTGAGGTCTTTACACATTCAACTGAGACTAAGTCATCGGGGGACTTGAAGCGACGCTCAAGCACTAAACTTTCCAGATCGCATGATATCTATCGGCCAAAATTCTTCTATCCTTCGCGCAATTGAACTCTACAATAATCAGAGCACTTCCGCTATCAGCGCTTGTAACTAAAGTAAAACTCTTCAGTCATAGGAATATCCACTCACTCAAGTCAGGTATCTCGGAATAAGTCCCTAACCGTGTCCTGGAACTTGATGGTGTGTAGGTAAAAGGTCACGAAAGTTGTCCCCACGGCAAGTAGTGCCCACTGGATCGAGATTAGAATTACAATGCACCAGCACCAGAAGTCAAATAAGAGTGGCATTTACCTGTATCATGCTCCCGCTGTTGCTGTTAATCGCCCTCAGGGCTTGCCCTATGAACGCTAATGCGCTTGCTTGTAACAAGAGAGCAACCCAACTCCCAGCCCCCACGACTGCTCTTGGTAGTTCGTGGCTGCGGCCCCCCTCTGTCCTCTCTAGCGCATCGAGGAACATCTCATCTGTTTGCATCAACTGTAGAATGAGTGCGATCATCAATGAGACCGAGGATGTAGCTGCTGCCCACGAGAGCCAGTACGAGGCGTCTGCCGTAGCCTGAACGGCAGCTGCTATGGGTGGATCAGTCTCATTGGTTAGAGGAACACCGAAGAAGTTTCCTCCCGTAGCAAATCCTTGGCTAGCCGAGATGGAAACGGAAACCGTGATAGTGGCAGTAAATGCGACAAGCTGAAGATACGCAGAAAATGGCGGATTATGTGGCCGTGACGCACTAGCATGCGGGGGTTGCCGGTTGGTGCCTGTGGCTCCCGACACGATTGATGGTCCCTGGCCGCCGGTTGGGGATCGTGGCGTTGATGTCGTAGCCATCTTCACTCAACAGAAAGGACTCAGCCTTGAACCAGTTTGCAGTCAAAGCGCGCAGAAACCTGGAGGTGGGTAGATGATGTGGTGTAGGAGAGTGTAAGAGTATGACACCTGACTGCAAATGTCACGCAAGACACGGCCACTATTTATGTCGAGCTCAACAAGCTATCGCATCGCGAGCTGACGATCTTTGGCTTTGTTGGCTGAGCTAGGTGCTAGTCTCGGTTGCCTTACTGGACTGCACCGCGTCCGACTCAGGAAGAAACGCCAAAACGAGGCAGTGCCACCGAAAGAGGCGTCGGCCGTGGCAATATAAATGTGCATATCTCCAAGGCATCCTAAAGAAATTCTAGGCATCGACTGCCTGCAACTCGCTTCTTATCCTTTGATGATCGCCCTGTCTGTTCTCTTCTTCGACCTTGGCCTGAGATAGTAACTAGTTTCCAAGCAAATCATGGGTGCATCACAGAGTCGAGGTCCAACGACCCCCAAAGGAGTTACAGGTAAGCAAAATGGTTAGATCAGTGAAACACAAAACTCCAAATGCAGTTCTTACTCTTTATTGTCGCAGGCTCGGTGCTACAAACGCGACTGGAGATGGAAGGAATTTTGGGACAAGAAGGCTTGGGCATCATTCGCCATATTATCAGCCACCAGACACCTGGTTTAGTCACCCGGGTCATATGGAGCAGAGAGCACAGCACTTTGCAACACGAGTACCTGTTGGTTTGCATCACAGGTCAAGAAGAGGCAAGAACCTCGTGGGTTAGACTTGAACGAATGGGCCATTTGGGCAAGCAGGCAACAGACAAGGAAGCAAAGTTGATGTTCATACCGGCACCTTGTAAGTCAAGCCTGGTTCACCATGACGACGAGACTTTACACGATGTCGATCTTGGTCCGTTGCCTCCAACGTTGGCGAAAATGGCAAACATACTCTCAATAATCCACCAAGCAGCATCCGACTACACATTCCTTCACCACAATTGTTGGTGGTTTGCTAGACAAACCTTTACCGTCCTCTTTACTCGTTTCATGCCTGATGGACCTCAGAAAAGGAGACTTCAAGGGAAATGTATCATGAAGAATCTAGAACAGGCAGAAGCACCGTATCATTCTGCGTGGCGTGGACGGCTGATCCGAGGAATGCTGTTGTTTGTTACCGCACCTGTGTTTCCTATTGCTTGGCCAGTCATTGTTGTAGGAACGGCAAGCATATCTGGATATGCCATGTTTGTGCTTTGGAAGACTTCAAAGAAGATTGATGTTCAGATTGATGATTATTTGGGAAGTGTTGCGAAATGATTATAAGCTCAATTTCGGCAAAGCGTTGGGCCCGTATCATCCGGTGCGAAGAGGCTAGCTTTCGGGGTTGACTTCCGCGAGGATTTGAAATCATTTTCCATCATACTAGATCTCTTGGGCAGTACGCCATGTCGATCAAAGAAACACAGTTCCTGATACATTGTGGCTCGTTGTGCATCTCCTACCCAATCAGCAAGTTGCAACCAGGCAAAGAGCCTTGACGAAATATGGACCTTGTTAGCAGTTTCTTCACATAGAGATCTTCTGGACAGACACTGCTGAACAAGTTCAATATTTGAAGTCATCAAGTGGAGCAGCTTAAGGCTGAGTATAACCATCTCGAGTCTCGTGATGTACTTACAAAAGAGGATGAAGTACCTAGATGTATGGGTATACGAGAACATCGCGGACCGAGAGACATATGGTATGTGCCAGAAGCTCTCCAAAGACTTTCATATTAGCCGAGGATTCAGAAGGAGATGATATCCGATGTGTCGGCGGTCGGTCCGGTCTTTGCAGTGTCCCTAGATGCGGGGTATTCGTGCTGCCAGCTGAGTAACCGAAATGTCTTAGATATCCGTTGAGTGATGCCCTCATACCAATCTGTACTTATTACGAGCCTGTCAGTTTAACCTCAACAATATGTGCGGGGTACAAATTGTGTTTCTACAGTCGGTGATTTACAAGCTCTAAGTGCAACGCGTCATGTCCGCCACTACCAATACTGGCCGCTCTGAGGCTCTGAGCTTCAACGATCATTTTGTCCAAATTATCGACGGAAAACCTTCTCCAACAGAGAAGAATCGTCATGGCATTAATCCAGCAAACCTGACTGCGAAAGCAGAGGTCCCTATCGCTACGCGCAAGGATCTTGATCTTGCCGTCGCTGCAGCAAAAGATGCCTTCAAAGCATGGTCGAAAGTTTCGTACGAAGACCGAAAGACGGCAGTTTTGGCATATGCGGATGCTGTGGATAGCCACCGAACCCAGTTCAGAGACTTGCTGATCTCTGAACAAGGAAAGCCAGTATGAACGCTAAGCCGCAGTCTTGTTTGTGGCATCAAATTGGCGAGCTACGCTTACACTTCCTAGATACCTCAAGCAGATGCCGAGACAGAGGCTGCGATCAGCTGGATTCGTGGCATGGCCGGTATCCCACTACCGGAGGATATTGTAGAGGACACCGATCACCGGACCATTATCACTCGTTATGCTCCTCTGGGTGTAGTTGGCGCTATTGTTCCTTGGAACTTTCCCTTGCTTCTCGCGACGGGCAAGATCGCACCCGCCCTCCTGACTGGAAATGTGATCATTGTCAAGCCCTCGTAAGGATGTTGGCACAATGGGAACTTATGCTATGGATGCTAAGAAACTCGCAGACCATTCACCCCGTACTGTGGGCTGAAGTTAGTTGAACTAGCACAACAGTTCTTTCCGCCGGGTGTGGTTCAGTCTCTGAGCGGAGACGACGACCTTGGCCCTTGGTTGACAAGTCACCCCGGCATTGACAAGATCAGCTTCACTGGATCCACAGCCACAGGGAAATTGGTAATGCAGAGCGCAAGCAAGACATTGAAGAGAGTCACGCTGGAATTGTGAGTGTATCGGCATTGCTTATTACCTTATGGTAAAGACTGACGACAAAAGGGGAGGAAACGATCCTGCTATCGTGTTCCCGGATGTAGATGTTGACAAGGTCGCTGAAAAGGTGTGTATAATCCAGAGAGTTCGCAGCCTAGTACGACTGATTAAAGTACTTAATATAGGTGGCGTTTTTCGCCTTTCTCAACTCCGGCCAGGTATGTGTTCTTATCCTATCATTCCTATATCCCAATACCTTGAGATAATGCTGTAGTTACACAGAACTATTCGCTTACACTTTACATCAGATCTGCCTGAATTTGAAACGTATTTACGTGCACGAGACCATCTTTGACCGCTTCAAGGAAGCCTTAGTGAAACACGTCAAGGGGTACAACCTTGGTGATGGCTCACAACCTGGCGTCACTCATGGACCTCTGCAAAACTCGATGCAGTATGAACGAGTCAAGACATTCTTCTCGGACATCGAGTCTCAAGGATGGAAAGTTGCCGTAGGCGGCAACGTTGAGCAGTCTCAAGGCTACTTCATCACTCCTACGATCATCGATCGCCCTCCTGAGAAGTCGCGCCTGGTCGTCGAGGAGCCCTTTGGTAGGTTCCTCCAGCCCTTGCCAACCATAAGAGTTTTGGCTCTGATGCATTTTGAACAGGTCCCATTGTTCCTCTCCTTTCCTGGAGCAGCGAAGATGAGGTTGTTTCCCGCGCCAATGACACGTCGATGGGCCTTGGAGCATCCGTGTGGACAAACGATTTGGAGAAAGCTGCCAAGATTGCTAGGCAAATCCAAGCAGGCAATGTTTGGGTCAACACACACTTCGATCTCACACCTTTAGCTCCATTTGGAGGGCACAAGGAGAGTGGTATTGGAACTGAGTGGGGTGCGAATGGCCTGAAGGGTTTCTGTAATGTGCAGACCCTATTCCTCAACAAGCAAGTTGTCAGCTAAGATATTTGGCCATCCAGCAGCTTCAGTATCAGCTTCACACAGTCAATCAAGTGACAATGGAAAAGCTGGTGAACATATGTGCATGTCGGTTCGGTACCAAAAGAATTGAAGCAAGTGATGAATCCCACTTAGGAACACATGCACATAGAATACCTCTATGATGGGTAGTAGACCATGTGATCATTCGATCCTATTCTCTCTTCTCTTTACTTTCAAGAAATGAAGAATGAAGACAAACATCCTGTTGAAAGTAAACTACATGTAGAGAGCTCTGTATCAATGCCAACTCGCATACAAATGGGATCCAAAAGCGCATGTTAGACGACTGGTAGACTGCTCTCTGGCAATAGTCGTACAAAGTATTCATAAATCGCGCAATTAAGAGGAGTTGAGGCGCTCAGGATACATGTTCAGACAGTTGTTCTACTGCGGTCAGATGAGATCCTAGCTGCCCAAGCTAGAGCGCGTGAGCCCTTAACACCGTGAATGACTGCGATCAGCACAAAAGACTCGTCATAACATATGCAGACATCAATAAGAGCATAAGATAGCTGTCTCGAAGCTGATTGATTTTTGGTATTTGACGAATTGTTTCAAATCTCAGAAAAAAAGGCGACCCGGGGCATCAGACCGTCACACCAATTATTGCGACATGCATGCGTGCATCAGTACTGTTGGCACATCCTCACCCATACGTCTATACTCGGTGATTGTCTCATTCGCATTGAATACCGAATGCGTGTATGTCTTTTCTGAGAATAATGTGATATGTCTCATCGAAGATGCATCCTCTGCTCACCGAGTGTGTCGCCATGTCAAAGTTCCGCTGTAAGAGGAATAAGTCCGCGAATTGAGCTTCAGCTCCTGCACGCTAATTACTGCAATGCTATTCTACGTATGCACGCATCATGAACTACCTGCAGAACACCTATTGTGTAAAGTGAGGCTACCAATGATAGACAGCGTAGCTGTGTGACTTCGGCTCGGAGAAAAGAGAAAACATTGCGACGGGCGCCTGAAGCGGCCTGGCAATAGCCGGACAAAGAAGTCATTGGCGATCAGATGGCGAACGCCGGAATAGATCAAAAGTATTTATATTGGCATTGGAGCTTCTCTTAGCCAGCTCCTTATGTTCTCTTCAAAGACATAAGCCATCATTACCCTGCCACCTATTTGGTGAATCATACTCTACATAGCCAACTACCCACACCCGCCTCTTCATTAATCATGGCACATGAGGACGACGAAGAGCACCTTCTTTCTGATAACCAAGACCTACCTGCCACACATACGGATAACGAAGTTGCAGAGGTCGAAGATGAATCAGCGACGCGACAAGGAGAAACGCCTCTCCTCATCAAGCTCGAACGGCTCGAATCGGATGAAGACGTGGAAAACTATTTGAACGATCAGGGTGGAGCTTGGAAGATCGACGTCAATACGAGGTCTTCAAAACCTCCCAAGCAAACACCGTTGCATATCGCGATTGGGAGAAACTTTATCCGCACCATTCAGCTTTTGTTAGAGGCTGGCGCTGATTTCATGGCCTTGGACGACGAACACAGACAGCCGCTCCACCTTGCTTGTCGCGAAGGCAACGATGCAATAGCCAGAATTCTGATAGATCACGGGGCGAGCACTACAGATACCGCTTTGAACGGTTGGAGTACTGTTCACTACGCGAGCCTCGGAGATGCAGACATTCAGCTTCTACGTCGCATTCTAGAGGTCGACCACCAGTTCCTGAACCATAAAGAGTATAACCAAGGATGGACCGCAATCAACCTGAGCACCTACTTAGGGGAAGAAGAAGTTGTCGAAGCTTTGCTGGAGAGATATCCCGATCTGAGGAAACCAGACGATGACGGATGGACGCCACTGATGACGGCAGTCAAGCAAAATCATGTCAAAATTTTTCGCGGGCTCATCAACCGCCTCACAAATGTTGGTGAAGATGGTGCAACCCCCTACGATGACGATTACGTGACCCAGGTGGTCAGACGACAAGAAAATGAGGATGGCAAAACGGTTTTGATGGAGCTTTTGGTCGCCGGGCCGGAGTTTCACACCTCAGAAGCCATCGTCTCCCTTGGCAAGCTTCTTCGCCGTTTGAGTCCGCAGAGTGCCAACATTGTTGATCGCGAAGATCGCACGGTACTAGATCACGCAATGCAGTTGGCAGAGAACAGCAACAGCTTTTCCCCAGATATGACGATGGAGCTTCTCAAATGGGTACCTCAAGAAGTCCTGTTACGACCGGGTCCGGGAGATCAAACCGCCTTCGAAAGAGCTTTCGGAGTGGACAGTCTGCACCAATTGTGGGAAGCAATGGAATCCAGAATCAAAACAGATGCCACATTGAGGGAGAATCTTCTATGCAGACTCGTATCACGAGAGACTCCAAGGTGTGTTGAACTGGCCACCCACATTCTGCAGGCGATGCCGTGCCAAGAAGAGCTCTCAGGTTTTGGTGGCAAAGAGAATTGGAGTTTGATTGATTGGGCAATATACCATCGATTGCCTCAGGTTCTCCTGTCCTGTGCGGCCCTGCAACGTACGGGAATCTCTAGCCATGAGAGCCCTGATGCGGCCAAAAGTCGTGGGAAATTGATGATTGAAAGATTGAAGATTGAGCAACAGAAAAGCGATACGGTCCAAAACGTTAGTGAGGGGCCTCATGCGAAGAAGCAACTGGACATACCGAAGCAAGCTGGGCCGAAACATGAAGCTTCAAAGAGAAGAAAGCAGACACGGAGCCAGCTCTTGGAGGATTTGGAGGATATTCTCGATTTCAGCTCCGTGGAGCAGTCTCGGGGAGTAGAAGAGCTTCTTGAAATCAAAAACCCGACTAAGGACCAGTTGAAGGGCTTGGAGGGCTTTTATGCAGCTGTTGTTGGACTTCGTATTGACGACCAAGAGTTTAGCCGAGCGTCAAAGTTCAGAAAAGTCAAAGAAATCATCTACGGGGATTCGAGAATTCGGACTCTTGGAGGCACCATTGACAATCTACGCAAGTCTGATCTGGAAGCGAACAGACCTGCCACGCTTGCCTCAACGGACACGAGGAATAATTTCACATGGATTCATTTACCTGCAGCAAATGTAAGTTTTTGATTACCTTTCATTTCTTCTGAGCATGACTAAACTTAATGCAGATGACATGGATGATGGTACGCCGCTTGAAATGGCACTCTCGTGTGGTGTATAACCAATACCAAGTGCTTACTCCAATAGGACACGACGAAGAAGATTCTGAATCAGTCAGACGATCTGGAGGAGACAGAAAAGAAGCAGCTTGTTTCATTTCTCGGTGCGAGTTGGGCTGAAGTCCCAGATGATGTCCAAGTCTCCCGCTTCATGCAACCTCGACTAGTCAAGATGAAACCTCCAAATGGGAAAGGGCCTGAAGACACTGTCTCAGCCTTCTACGTGAGCAATCATAGAATATTTTTGCCCTTATTATTCAACAATCTAATATGAGAGGAAGATGCCATTTCTCATAGTTGAAGACTACGAAAGAGAAAAGGACGACAATTGCGAAAACAAAGCCCCCGCCGAGTCGTCACACTCAGGCTCCTTAGATCTGGCTCGGAAGCCTCTTCATCGCTCGACTACCTTAGATGAGCACTACTACCACTTTGCAACGGATTCCGAGTCTAAAAAAGACCGAGTAAAGAGGAATGAGAGCCAAATGGTTACGAAACATCTTCACGGGCTCGTAGATGCAAACGATTCTTCATGGCCGCTGCTACGAGTTAGCCAACTATGGGCCTGGACAATTCAGATTGGTGAAACCAGTGAGTTCTCGAGTACCGGCGAAGATAAATTGAGTAAAACTCACCGTTGAATTTAGAATGGCTGGTGACATCTACGTCTTGCGCCAAGACTGAGAAATCCAGTACCTTTGTCAACAATGTACTTGATCACCTCCGCCGTCGAGTCAAGGACGGCAATTTCAGACAAGGTCCCCGATCTCCTATCGATCTTAGCAAAATCATCGTAGAATACTGTATCGAAACGTACTGGAGGCAGTTGGACGCGGAGAGATTTCCCGAAAAGCGAAGCAAACCTGAACATGGAAGACCTCAGCCTAAGACACCGCCGCACCCTCCTCAAATGCCAGACAGTAGTTTTTCACGCCAGGAGATGACAACTATCGGGCGGAAACAACGATCCATCCGCCATATCTTCTCTGACTATGTCAACAACATTGTTTGTAGTCCAAATTTCAACTGACTTTGTTGGTGCTAACTAACTTCGCAGGGACGACAAGAAGTGGAACTTTTTCGAAAATTCTGCATTCAACGAAAGGAACCCAACGGTGTAGACAATTCAATTGAAAGCTCGCAGCGTGATACCAGGAGAGCAGCTGAGCTTCTGTTCGAGATCAAGGACATTCGCGACGAGCTGAACATCCTCAGGACTGTCGTTGAATACCAACGGAAGGTCCAATCAAGCATAGATAACACCGCTCTTGAGCAGCTCACTGTTCGCAACCCTGAGTTCGATAGGGACTTGAAGGCTAAGTACGTCAGGAACGACATTGATGAGTTAGACCGCCTTGCCAAAAACATCCAAGGATCTGTGCGTAAACCTTGAACTCTCGGTATCCTCAACGCTTACATTCAATCTCCAGTTACAAACTACCATACAGCTTCATGAAAGCGAGATTGCCAATTGTCAGGCCATGATCGGCAACCGCCAAGCAGTGGAAGCTACTGCGCAGGGGAACAGGATCATGGTATTCACGTATGTTACAGTTGGATTTGTGAGTCTCTATTCCGTGCAGCTCTTCACAACAGGGGATGTGAACTAAAAGCTCCCACTTAGGTGCCGCTATCGTTTCTCACTTCCCTCTTTGCCCTGGATGTCGAATCATTCATGAGGGCTCCTTGGTGGTCTCTCGTTGTGATCTGTAAGCCACCTTGGTTTGATACGATCATGTAGCATCAGAAGGCTAACACAAACTCTAGTTGTTGTCCCGGCGCTGTTTCTTTGGGGAACTAAGCGCTGGATGAACAGAATGGAAGAGGTAAGAACAGGTGCTTAACAGATCTGATTCATCACAAAACATGGAAGCTGATGTGGTGATAGGAAGCTCTAGAGGCAAGAAGAGAGGCTCCAATGTTAAGGAGAGAGGAGGTATAAACCTATCTTGTGTTATTCTGCTGTTTCTTGAGGAGAGTGTCTTTGTACCGAAATCCACACATTCACCGTTCTTGTTCAAAGACCAAGGAAGCCCATAATACACGAATAAGGCTTTAGCATTTGCTGCTTAAACTATCCGTTGTATGGGCACAACTCGGGGCTATTGTAAAGGTCCTGACACCTGAAGCATTGGCCTTCAATTTTCGTAATTTCGACGTGAGGTCTCATTACGGTAGCCGAATCATTTTAACACACCTTCTTGATTTTATGGGCAAGCCATCAAGGCTTAAATCGAAGGCTGCGACAGAGTCTAAAAAGTTGAACATCTAACGATCCCCATGCAACGACCTACGGTTAGCAAAAGCAAGACATATGAAGATCACTTGATTGGCCGGCTTGGTGCAATCAGTGCCACGAAACCTTGAGAAATATAAGACCTTCGCTTGCTGTGTGACACGGCGGCCGCCCCCAATGCACATCCCACAAAAACCCCTGTCACTGATCATCGAGAAATACCGCAAAGCACCGGGGCCCTCACCCAGCTTACGCTTTTTACTCGACGCGTCGCACCCTGGAACTTAAACAGAAAGTCCAAAGTGGCCGCTTTTCCGCTTCCCTAGCTTGAAAATGGGCCTGGCTACACCGCATGCAGTCCAAATCCCGGTCTGAGTCCCATTCGACCACCGACACGTCGCACGACATTACAGTTGCCTGGTATCTGGGAGGGGGTTGAAGAATGTCTGCGAGTGACTGGGTCTGGGGTGAATCAGCTATTAATATCGACAAGCTCCGCCAAGCCACGTGTGTGCAACTCCGACTCAACGACATCGCATTTGTGTACACAAAAATGGCCGAATTTCTCATTGAAGACAAAGACTTGGTCGGGCTCAAGGGCAAGGTGGCCATCGTGACAGGAGGTTCATCAGGCATTGGCCTCGCTGCAGTCAACACGCTGCTTTCACAGGGTGCTTCCGTCGTTAACGCAGATATTCAGCCGCCAGCGGAGCAACCCGAAAACTCTTACACGTTTGTGAAGACCGATGTCACCGTCTGGGCTGAACAGATCGCACTCTTCAAGAAGGCAAAAGAGATCTATGGACGTATCGATCATGTCTTTGCGAACGCTGGCCTCGGTCCCCGCGCCAACTATCTGTCTACGGAAGTAGATGAGAATGGCGATCTGAAGGAACCCACTCACCAGCTTCTGGATGTCAGTCTCACAGGTGTAATTCACACGGCTACGATCGCGATATACTACATGCGGCAACAGGCCGAGGGTGGCAGCATTGTCATCAACGGTTCTACCACCGGTCTCCAACGGCTTCGTGCCGTGGACTACTGTAAGTTTGAGACCTTTCCGTGGCTAGCCTTTCCAGCTAACAACATAACTCAGCCACGGCCAAGCATGCGGTCCTCGGATTCGGACGTGGTCTGATCCCGCTCATCGCATCCGCCAATTTGCCCATCAGAGTCAACACCTTGGCGCCAACGTGGGCGGATAGCAGCGTACTGCCGGACTTGAAAGGCCTTATGGCCAAAATTGGAGTCGAAATCCAGACCGCAGAAGCGGTTGCCCGCGGCGCAGCGTATCTGATGGCCGATACATCCCGGAACGGGAATGTGATACATGTGCAGCTTGGAAAGTACAAGGAGATTGACGAGGCCGTCCTGCTCCCGGCTTTTGAGTCTATCAAGGGTCCTGACTATCCTGGTGAGGACGAGGTTCTGCGCCGCCTGCAGGAGCTTATGATGGCCGCGTGATTGTTTTGTTGTTGTAAGCGTCAGTAAGGCCTGGGATTTGGGCAGGGGCTGGAGTCAAATCTACGCAATTTTGATTAATTTATCACAATCAGTCTGGAGTTTGACGGTAAACCAGAATTATCAGCGAACAACCCAAACATCAAAGAAGGCTGCCGCCCCTCGAACAATCGTAGTCAAGCTTATGAGACACGGAGACTCGTTTGATAAGATCTTGAAGTGACTCCTGAGCGGAATGGCAGCTGTATATTTCAGACTTAAGGTAGCCTACAACATTGAGAACCCCCCAGAAGCAGATATAGTCTGCCCAGTAACCCAATTCGCCTGCTCCTCCGCAAGCATAGCAACAACATACGCGACATCCTCCGGCTTGCCCATCCGATTCTCAAAAGGCGTCATGGCCACAATCATCTTGACGTGCTCCCCGTGAGCCTCCGAGGCTCCTGAGTCGCGCGCCATGTCCGTCTCCGTGACACCGGGTTCAACCGCGTTGACGGTATGTCCCGCCGGGCCCAACTCCGCGGCTAGGGCACGCGTGAAACCCTCCAGTCCGGCCTTGGAGGCCAAGTAGAGACTCGCGGAGGCGTAGCCGCCCCGCGCTGCGACGGAGGTGATGTTGATGATGCGGCCTGGACGGCGGAGGTGCGGTATGACGGCCTGAGACATGAAAAAGGGCCCTTTGAGGTTGACGTCGATGCTCTCCTGGAAGTTTGCTGGTGTAACTTCTGACACGGGTAGTTTGGACGTTATACCGGCGTTGTTCACGAGGATGTCGATGTGTTCTCCAAACGCTTTGACAGTGGTCTCGACGACCCGCGCGGGAGAGTCGGGCGAGGACACGTCGGCTCGCACTGCGACGGCATCCGCCCCATTGCCCAAGGCTTTGACGCTGTTTACTACATCTTGCGCAACACTAACGCTGTTCTCTGAAACAAAAGTGATAACGACCTAGGGGTTCCTGTCAGAAGTCCAGGCTCATCAATGATCGGAAAACTTGACTAAGGTCTGAACTGACGTTTGCGCCTCTCTTGGCTAGTTCGACAGCAATGGCGGCACCAATTCCTCTGGAGCCGCCAGTCACGATAGCGACTTTGCCGTGTAGAGACTGAGCTTGCGTAGAGGCCATTTTTTTGCAGATCTTCACTGGATTGATGGAGTATCAGACCACGACGCTAGGACTGCAACAAACGTGGTGGGAACTGGGAAACGTTCTGAAGATAAAGCGGGGTCCAACCGATCCAAGACTTTTTTTAAACTTTGAATTCTTTCCAATAGCAGTTAGGCATCTAGCAAGATCCGGAGGAAAACAACGGGTCTTGTAACACGGCTTTCGGGTGGGATGTCAAGAGTGAAGCTCCTCGATTCGCACGACTCGAACTCGCCTATCAACAAACACTAGCTCTGTGCTCGCGGTCCCCGAGACTCCTAGATAGGTAGAATGTCTGCTCGCTCAGAGGTAAGGCAACCTATTACAAGGGACATTGCACTTCACTTAGGTACGATGGGAGTCAGAAGTGCGAGAAGTATGCTTTTATTTGTTCGAGTGCGCCATCTTCATGATAAGATGCGAAGTCCAATTCAGGCTGGCCGTTCTCACTTGCGATCTTGATGCAGCGGGTGCCCCATTTCGCGGCCGACCCCTTTCCTCGCCAATGCTTATGCTAAACAACAACGCCATCAACCATGCCGAAAACAATCTATTCCTCCCTCATCGCTTGAGAATGATCAAAGAAACGAACTTGGTCCAGAGAATTTAGACGCAAGCGACAGTCTGCGTGCAGCTGTTGCCGCGCTGAAGGCCCTTGCAGGCTTCCTCGTTGGCCTTGGTAGCCTTGGCGTCAAAGGTGTCCGTCTTGCCCTTCTGGCAGACGTTGGTGTTGCCCGTGCAGAAGAGGTTGGTGCCCTGCTGGCAAACGGACAGGTAGTTTGCGGTCTCGTAGGTGGCCTGAGCGGAGGCGCCAGCGACCATGATGCTGGCGAGGACGGCGAAGGTAGGGAACTGCATTTTGGCTGTTGTTTATGGTGGTGATTGATTGAGATCGAAAGGGCGGCAAGTTGATACTTGGTAGTGAGTTATAGCGAGAGAGACAGTTGTGTGAGTGAGTGATGTTGAGATGAGGGAGAAATATCACGCCACTCAAGGGTTCACCCAATTACTTATATAGAATTTTCTCTCGTCGATTCACGGAGAGCAACTGCCGTCCAAGCCTTTGATAGAGCATCATAATTTCGCTGACTCGAGCCGATGTCTCGAGGCCATCCTAAGCGAAGCGACGCAACTCGAGAGCTTCCGAGTGGGATGGGTAGTCGGTGTCGCCGTGGAACCGTGGGCTTGGTGCGTAGTGCCGCCCAACCGAGAACCTTAAAAAGACCCGTGTGCTGAGACGAACACTTTCGGCCTTCTGTGGCGTGGCTTTGCTCTCATGCGTTCCATTTATATTAACTGTGACGTTTCAACTTGAACGCGTGGTGTCTCGCAGCCCTGATTAGTAGCTAAGTCTGTATAGCATTCCCTTGGGAAACAGTTGCCGGACAAAGCAATCGGACGGACAATGGCAACTTAATTATATTGCAAAGCGGAGCGCTGTTGGACGTTGGCTCACTCGGCGCGCTTTGCCTGGGTAGCTCGTTGGTGGAAAGTGAAAGTAGCCAAGGCTTTCCCCAGATTCAATTGCGGATACTGGGCTCCGGAAATGTCATGCCGCTTCCAGGTGTTTGGGTCTATGGACCACGAGGCGCGCGCGTTGAGCAAGATTAGCAAGTCTTGCTAAGTCTTTGATAAGTCTCAAGGTTCGTGTATGACCTTGGTGATGTCTAGCGATCCTAAACCAGTGAGCTCAGAGTGTAGGCCTCCGGGCTCTCTTCACGTCAGCCCACAACGCGCCGAGTCAGTCGCAAAAAGTCGGGAGATTCAACGTGCATATTCTGAGTCGACTGCTAACAACACTTTGTTGCCAGTTGATTCGCCGGAAACGAGAATCGAGTGTTATCATGAGGTGAGGTAGATGGCAGAAGATAGATCACATCGTAGCCAGTGATTCTGTTGACCCAAGCGATGTTGCAAACGCACATTGCCGAGTTTAGTGGAAATGTTCGAAGTTGTTGAGTTCCAGTCCAGTGCACACAGTATTGCTGCCACAAAAACCCATCTCAGGGACACAATGGCGTTTGAGCTGCTCTCAGTTGACAAACTCATCGAAGGGAGAGCCCAACAGTGATAAAGGCGGGCGCAGAGTTGTGTGCCACGAGAGTGCCTAACAAGGTTGTCTGCCCGAGACTGCCATGTTTCTTGAGTGATCGGCGTGTCTTTTAGCCTTCGACTCAGTCTCCCACGTTATTCCGTCCGAACTGAACGATACTTGCCACGCGATCTCCAAAACTTAGCTCAAGCATTCTGCTCTTCGCAAACATAACAGGAAAGCTCCGGTTGACAGACGGCGGCGCACCCTGGTTCCGGCCTCGGAAGCCGGACACCGCGGTGCTCACGTAACTTATGAGAGGGGTCATGATCGACCCGTCCCCCGGGGCAAACATCCGGGGATGACTTAAGGCGCGCATTCTGTGGAATCAATGGCGCAATCGTATGTAAACTCGTTCCCGCCAGATGAACCTCTTGAAATGTAGACACAATACCGAACCCATTTAGCCGATTTCACTTGACGGGCGATAAGCATGAGCTGGCGAAGTAGAGTCTTTGTCGGAGACGACCCGACGCTGGATCTGCAGAAGGCGGATGGCGTCCGGTCGCACGTAATCGTGCCGCCCGACACGCCCGACCAGCAGACGCTTGTTTATTTTGTGAATAGTCTGAGGAGGGGCGGAATCGGCGGACCCTCCCACCAGACACTCGGTATCAATTGCCGCAAGGAACGGCAAGACTAATGAGACTTCTCATGACATTCTCTTATATATGCTGATGAGTTCTACTCATGTCCGCTCATAAACCACATTCTTGAAGGCTGGAATTAAGCGAGTTCTTGTGCACTTCAGCTCACTCTCAATTATGAGCACTCACTGAAAAATTATCTTGAATCCCTAAGTCCTGACTCACGGCCAAAACTCATCTGAGAATCAACACCACGAGGAACTGCCAAACTCTCCTGAGCATCATGGCCGCCGACATCAGAGTCTCAATCGACCGCGGCGGCACATTCTGCGACGTCATTGCCGAAATTGACGGCCGTGAACCCCTCATCTTCAAACTCCTCTCCGAAGACCCGGCAAACTACCCTGACGCCCCAACAGAAGCCATCAGGCGCGTCCTCGAATTCGTGGAGGGGAAGCCCATCCCCATCGGCCAAAAACTTGATGGGTCGCGCATCGGTGCATACTCATTTAATCAACTCTCTTCAATCTTGTTTCTAACACTTTCCTAGCATCATGCCGCATCGGCACCACAGTCGCGACAAATGCTCTCTTAGAACACAAGGGCGAGCGCTTCGCCTTCCTCACCACCAAAGGCTTCAAAGATGTCTGCGTCATCGGCGATCAGTCCCGTCCGAAACTCTTTGATCTCAACATTCGCAAGCCCACGGCTTTACACTCGACCGTCGTTGAGATCGATGAGCGCGTCGTGCCGGCAGACTACGATCTCAATCCAACGCCACTAGACAAGGAAGCCGCTCTCAAGTCCGCCTCAGTATCATCACCAACCTCATCCTCATCAACTACTCCCCGAGAAGGAGACCTCGTCAGTACACCAAACGGCGATCTAATCCGCATCCTCCGCCGCCCAGACCCAGATCTCATCCGCTCCCAACTCCGCGCCCTCAAAGATGCAGGCTACACCTCCGTCGCAATCTCCTTCATGCACGCCTACCTCTATCCCGCCCACGAAGACCTCGTCGCCTCCCTCGCCCGCTCTCCCGAGTTCGACTTCTCTTACGTGACAACCTCGTCATCAACCTCTCCCACCATCAAATTTCTCAACCGCAGTACCTCAACATGCTCAGAAGCCTACCTCTACCCCGTCATCCAGCGCTATGTCGCCTCCTTCCACACAGGCTTCCTCCCCAACGCTCCGCCACGCCGCGTAGACTTTATGTGCTCCGACGGCGGCCTAAAAGCAGCCTCCCGCTTCCGCGGCAATGAGGCACTCCTGAGCGGTCCCGCAGGCGGCGTCGTCGGCATTGCGAGGTCCTGCTATGACCCTCAGGACGGCACGCCTGTCATCGGCCTCGATATGGGTGGTACCAGCACCGACGTCTCGCGGTACGATGGGAAGTACGACTACCTTACCGAAACCTCCATCGCTGGCCGCACAATCACCACGCCCATGCTCAACATCGCGACCGTAGCAGCTGGCGGCGGCTCGATCCTCTTTGCGCGCAACGGTCTCTTAGCTGTAGGACCTGAGAGCGCCGGCGCGCACCCGGGACCGGCATGTTACCGCAAGAATGGGCCTTTGACCGTCACTGACGCGAATCTCTTCCTTGGGCGTCTTGTTCCGTCTTCCTTCCCTTCCATCTTTGGACCGTCCGCCTCTGAGCCGCTCGATACCGCCGTGGTCGAAGAGAAGTTCAAACAAATTACGGAAGAGTTCAACGACCAGACGAACCAGACTCTCCAGCCACACGACGTAGCCCTAGGCTTCCTAGACGTCGCAAACGAAACAATGGCCCGTCCCATCCGCAACGCAACAGAAGCCCGCGGCTTCGCCCCCGAGAACCACAACCTCGTCTCCTTTGGCGGCGCAGGCGGGCAGCACGCCTGCGAGATTGCCGATAAACTCGGCATCCGCCGCATCTTGATCCACAAGTTCTCCTCTCTGCTTTCGGCATACGGCATCGCCCAGGCAGAGCTACAGAGCGAGACCCTCGAGCCGTACGGCGCGAAATTCAAACACAGCGATAGCGCCGTACAAGGAACGGTAGCATCCCACGTCGCTGACCGTCTAGCTGCGCTGAAGGAAAAGGTGACGCAAGAGTTAGTATCCCAGGGTGCGGATGAGACTTCTCTGGTCTTTGACGAGAGTCTTGTGCTGCGGTACTTTGGCACCGATACCAACCTAACAATCTCCCGCCCCGAGGATGGTGACTATGCAGGGAGCTTCAAAGCCACGCACCTCCGCGAGTTTGCCTTCTCGATGGACCGAGACATCGTCATTGAGTCGATCAAGGTCCGCGGGACAGGCAGCGCGGCCGGGAGCGCGTTCGGGATGCGGGAGACGTCTGCGACTCAGGAGCTCGCGGATAGGAGGAGCGGTGCTAGCGGTGGTGTAGCTGCCGCTCCAGAGCCGCGCATGAAGCAGAGGGTTTACATCAACGGCGGGTGGCGCGAGACGGGCGTGTATCGTCTGGATGAAGTTCTCAAAGGCGTCGTAATCGAGGGACCAGCTCTGCTCATCGACCAGACGCAGACAATCTTTGTATCGCCGACGTTCAGCGCGTACATCCTCTCCTCCCATGTCCTCCTCGAGAAGCAAACTTCCACAATAGCTTCATCAACATCACCCCTCTCCACTTCCACAACACCAACACCGGCACCCCAGACCGCGACACCAGAAACGACGGACCCAATCCTCCTCTCCGTCTTCGCCCACCGCTTCATGGCCATCGCAGAACAAATGGGCACCACCCTTCAACGCACCGCAATCTCCACATCGATCAAAGAACGCCTCGACTTCTCCTGCGCAATCTTCTCACCCGAAGGCAAACTCGTCGCCAACGCGCCCCATATCCCCATCCACCTCGGCTCCATGCAATTCGCCATCCAGGAACAACACCGCCACTGGAAAGGCCGCCTCCAGCCCGGCGACGTCCTCCTCACGAACCACCCGCAATGGGGCGGCACCCATCTACCAGATCTGACCGTCGTCACGCCCGTCTTTGTTGATACCGGATCACCCTCCGCCGACAAGCCAGACAGTGACGAAACATCCAGCCAAGAAATCGCCTTCTACGTCGCCTCCCGCGGCCACCACACAGACATTGGCGGCAAAGGCATAACCTCAATGATGCCTGAGTCCCGCCAACTCTGGGAAGAAGGCCTCAACGTACCCACCCTCAAGATCGTCTCCCGCGGCCACTTCCTCGAGTCCGACGTCATCGCCGCCTTCGAGAAAGCAGGTTCTCTCCCAGGCTGCTCCACCTCCCGCCGTCTCGCCGACAACATCTCGGACCTGAAGGCCCAGACATCCGCGAACCAACGCGGCATCCTCCTCCTCCGGAAACTCTGCGCCGAGCAAGGCGAGGGGAGGCAGGGCGTCGCTGTGGTGCACAAGTACATGTCCGCCATCCAAGCCAACGCAGAAACCGCCGTCAGAACCTACTTCAAATCCCTAGCCGCCTCCCACCCGACCGGTCTCTCCGCGACGGACCACCTGGACGACGGCACACCCCTCCACGTGAACATCACAATCGCCCCCGAAACCGGCACCGCAACCTACGACTTCTCCCTCTCGGGCCCCCAAATCTGGGGAAACTACAACTGCCCCGTCTCCATCACCCACTCCGCCATAATCTACACCATCCGAAGCCTAGTCGGCCTCGACATCCCCCTAAACCAAGGCTGCCTGAACCCTGTAGACATCGTCCTCCCACCGCAAGGCTCCGTCCTGAACCCCGGCCCCGGCGTCGCCATCTGCGGCAGCACACTCGCCTCGCAGCGCGTCATCGACGTCATCCTCCGCGCGTTCGGGACACACAGCGCGAGCCAGGGGTGCGCGAACAGTTTCGGCTGGGGCATGGGCGGGCGGGACCCGGAGACCGGAGTAATCGTCAAGGGGTGGAATTACGGGGAGAGTATCGGCGGCGGGGTGGGTGCGGGGGCAGGGTACGACGGTGAGCACTCGACGCACGTGCATTCTACGAATACGCGCCAGACGGACGCGGAGGTCATTGAGAAGCGGACGGCTGTGCTTGTCAAGTCCTACGGTATCCGCAGAGGCAGCGGTGGTGTTGGGAAGCATCGTGGAGGTGATGGAATCACCCGCGAGATCCAGGCGCGTATTCCGCTCAAGTTTAGTATTCTTTCGGATCGGAGGGTGTATAGACCCTGGGGTATGGCTGGCGGCGGGCCGGGACAAAAGGGGGAGAACTATGCGTTCTTGTTTAATGAGGAGGGAGGAATGGAAAAGATTAATCTTGGCGGAAAGGCGATTATCAACCTTAAGGAAGGCGAGTATATCCAGGTCAATACGCCGGGTGGCGGGGGGTATGGCGGCGAGGAGGTGGAGGATAGACATCGGGGGTATGTATGAGACAAACGCTGTATCATGATAGACAAAAGACATACATAGATGAGTAAAGCTTGCAGCAGACTACCACCAACATGCAATTATGACCGGATGTGACTTGATAAAGCCTTGTCATTACATATAAACGGACCTAATCCAACATTACAACATCCAATGCGCATAGCACATCATGGTATCTTCATCTCTCGTCAACGTAAAATCCCCAGCAACTCCCGTGGATATCATGCAGGCATCGCCCCCAGTTTCGCTTCAGCACAACAGTTTACGCGACCTCCTTCTCCAACTTGGTGTCGACCGTACCCGGGGCAGCAACGTCCGCAATGGTCTCGTCAGAGAACTTGAGATCCTCCTCAACGGTGACAGTGTCCTTAATCTTCAAGAAGATGATGGGCGCACCAATAACGAGGGCACCAGCAAGGCAACCCCAGGTAGCGCCGAAGATGGTGTTGTACTCGGTTTGGACACCATCGAGACGCCAGAAGACGGCAGCGCCGGCGGATTGAATGCCTGTACCATGTCAGTATGAATGCGTCAAAACAGTGGAAGAACGCGTGACTTACCCTTGTAGAAACCAGCCAGGTTGGCAGCCTTGCGGGAAGAGTTGGAAAGGGCACCCATGTACCAGTAGATGCTCGTCTGCCAGCAGGCATCGAAGAACCCGTAAAACATGTACAAGAACATGGGACCAATGTAAGCCTCGCCGCCGTCGGTCCAGTCAATGGTGGGGTAGTCCAAGTTGCCCTCAATTTCGCCGCGAGGAGCCTGCTTCTTCTGCCATGCGTACCCACCACCCCAGATAGCCATGGTCAAGACGAAAAGCGTAATGTAGGAGGCCTTTGCGCGCACACTACGGCGGACCTTGGGGAAGTCAAGGGCGTAGCCAAAGATGAGAGCACCGATGATTTGGGAAGACCAGTACAACAGGTTGTTGAGCGAGCGAGTGCGGGTGTTGAAGTGAGGGGCGTTCATGTCGTTGGTCTGGTAGGTGTAGAAGACGTTGGAGGTGAAGAACATGGGGAACAGAAGGATGATCCACGGGTCTTGGGCCAGAGTCTCCCACAAGCCCTTGAACTCAGACTGCCAAGAAGGGTTCTTCATGACAATTACCTTGGAGCCGTCCTCACGAATGATCTTGGGCACATCGCACATGAAGAGAGCAAGAATGGCACCGAGCAACATAAGTACAATGAAGGCAGCGTAGGTGCCGTCAGTAACGGTGCTTCGCGATGTTGTGTTGATGTTCTGGCCGAGGGGGATAAGAGCACCGATGACAGCGCCGAGGTTGAAGATCATCCAAAACCAGGAGATGTAGCGTCCCTTTTCCTTTTCAGAGGGGTAGGACATCATGATGGCACCCTGGCCAGTCCACAAGAGACCAGCGCACACACCGAGGAAGGCACCGGCGAAAATGACGAAGCCTTCGTTCTGGTTGTGAGAGTAGGACAGGAACGAAGCGGCGTAGATGCAGTAGCCCAAGCCACCCAAGCTGAGAGTCAGACGGAGACCGAGACGGTTGGCAAAGGTACCGGCGAAGAAGGCGGCGACGGCAAAGGTGGAGTACAAGGCCGTGTTGGCATCGTTGGAGGCCTTTGTGGAAACCTGACCACCGCCACCGAGACCACCGAGAGCATTGAACATTCCGGGGCAGAGGAAGCAGACGAAGGAGACCATGAAGAGCTGGATGCGGGGCGAAGCGTACCAGAGCTCCTTGCCAGCAATACGGAAGCCACGATACATGAAGCCGGCAGGGCGGGGAACGGGGCCGTCAACAGCGGTTGTTGTCGGGGCGGCGGTGGCGGGCTCGACATCGGCCGCGGCCGCGGGCTCAGGAGCGTGTTTCTCGTCGACAGAGGACATCTTGGCGGTGGTGTGGAGTTGAAGAGGTGGAGAGGTTTTGAGGACAGACGTTGAGGTTGACGGAGCGTCGTTGCGCCTTGGCGGGACGGGAGGGATTGGGGCCGGTGGTGTGTGGCTGCCGCTTGGTGCTTCTCTCTCTCAAAGTGTCGCAGACTGGAAACTCAATCGTGCCAGACGATGGGTGATGGGGGCCCAAAGTAGCGCAGGCGCAAGGCTCGGTTCGATGAGTTTTGGTCTGGAGAGACTGGACTGAAAGAATGAGACGGGCGAGCGAAGACTAGAAGGGTCCTGGGGGAGGTGTGCAGCTTCTTTATGGGACGGTTTATCGGGCTGCAGGTTGCAGTTGCACTGGGCGATGATCGTGGGTGGAGCTTTGGTCAAGGTCGCGGTCCCGACGTGCCAGGGTGAGGCGTGGCGGGTGCGAAAAAGATGACAAGGGGGGGCGGAGACTGGGAGAAAGTCGGGTGGAGGGTGTGAGGATGATGGAGGTGGTATCCGTAGGTAGGGTAGCCGGGGTTGATTTGTTGACTTGGTGATGTTGAAGATGGAAGAAGGGTGTTGATGGAGGGGAAAGAGAAGAAAGATGGTAGTGAAGTAAGGTAAGGTACCTTACCGTATCTGCCAATTTGTTTATCGCCGCTAACCAAACCGTGATACGGGAAGACAGGACGAGATTGGAAGATGGCAAGAGCAAACAGTGTCGGGTGTTTCTTTTTGCATACAAAAATAACTTAATAATCGAGAAGCTTTGAGGACTCGATGTTCAGACGCAGGGCAGGTGCAGATGGAAGGATACCTCAGGTGCGAAGGAAAGCAGCCGACAGCCGGGGGCGTAGATGGCAAACGGGAAAGCGTGTTCACGGGTGATGGGTGTGTGAGGTGTGTGAGGTGTGAGACGATGGGAAGGAGGGACTCAGGGAGAAGATGTGCAGAGCTAAGGAAGGTGGCGCCAACGCCCGAATGGGACGGGACGGGTACGGGGTACGCAGCAGGTGAGAATTTGGGGGAAGGCACCTCACACGCGCCACGGCACCTTAGATGGCAGGAGGCGGGAGATTACTGGCAAGAAGGCACTGGCAGGAAGGAGCTGCCCCAGTCGACCGCTCTAGCAACGGAGGGGAAGGCACGGTCAGCTCAGGTAAGGTAGCAATGGGAACTCAGGAAGGAGTCGCCTTTCTCGTGTGCGTTCCATCTGACGTGTGACCGAGGTGCCTATCAGCGCCATGAACGAGAGACCTTGGACCAGGTTTGATAGATGGGCTGAGAGTAAGGCGTCTCCAATGTGTCAGTGTGGTGGTGTCAAAAGAAAGGTGGTAGGATGGAGTGGCAAGCTACGTGACAGTCAGAGGCAGTGGCCTACCTTGGAGGCTTAGATACGGCTCTTCAACTAGCAACACTCGACAGCCACCAGGCACTGGTAGAAGTGCGCCAAAGTTTGCTTGTCAAAGATGATAATGCCAATTCAAAGGTGACAGCAGAATTGACTGATGGTGTGGAGCATGGGGAAACCAAACCAGGATCTGGCGCCGCCGCTGGGCAACGGGGGAAACAGCCGATGGGTTGAGAGGAGCCACTGCACAGGGATGCGATTGACTGAACCGGGTAATCCACAGATACGGATGGGGAGATTTCGGTTCGGAGACCTGGCCGTGGACCTGAAGCTTGAAGGTCCAGTGTTGATAAGAAAGACTCCGGCCCGGTCAGTGCCGAATGATGGATGCGTGAGCAATCAGTCGGTCAGACCTGATATCTTCTTGACATTGATAGTTGCGGAATCTTAGAAGTCGGGTCTGGTCTGAGATACCCGTATGGCATTGTCGAGTCAAACAACAATCAATCAAAGAAAGACGCAGTCCAAATTTAGACAAACTTCAACGGCGCTGGACGGCAGGCGGTGGCGGCCTAAGCCAGGGCGAAGAGCGGCTGTTCACGGCAACGCGAGGTATCACGAGGTGGAGGCTCCAACGACGGTATTCGTTCCAACCTGCGAATAAGGTAGGGAGAATGGGTGATAGACGACGGCTGGAAGTTGAAATTGAGACATTCGCGTTGTCAAAGTTCCATTGTTGCTGACTGACTGGGCCAACCTCCCTCTCGCATCACACCACATCTGCAGAGGCCCCTAGCTGGTATCTGAGGCCGTGTTACACCACAGGAGCCATTCTTTCTTGCTTGAATGAGTCTTTCGTGATAGTGATTCCAACTTGTTGTTTGCCCCAATTCTCGTCATGTTTCATCTCAAGTCGCCTACCGTCACTTGCAGGAAGCAATCTGAGGTGCTTATTTGTTTTGACATGTGTGCCGCGCCGGGAGAAAGAAGCGAAATTCATCAACGAAATTCATGGTTCGTTGCGTCCCCACTCTACCCCAATCGATAAGCCCCACGACAAAGGGCCGATGTCTTGGGGTATCTGATTGGTCAACAGTTCGGGAGGTCACGAGGTGGCGCTTCCTTCCATCTCGGAGACTCTGATCGTAATTGGCTTATGGACTCCTGTGCCTCGGCCGTTTGGGGAAGGAGAAGGAGAGATGACATGCATCCATCACCTGCCGGCCGCCCGCACTGTGCCTTTTCAGTGCCGAAGACGCATCGAGTGCTGACAGCAGCACGCATCACAGCGAGTGCGAATGGATTCATCCTGCGGTCCACGGCATGCGGCTGATGTTGATTCATCTCAGGGTAGTGATAAGGTAGAATACGAGGTTGACATTCCTATATACTCTACTTCCCCGAGTCTGCCATAGGGATCTGTAAATGGCCGAGTGCTAATATCAAAACACTACCTATGCTTTTTGATCTCGTGCCTTCCCTCCACATAACAAACACAGTGGTAAAAACAGAAGCAATAGCCACCACACCACCACACCTTCCCCCGTGCGGAGAGATTTTTAAAGTGGCGCCCAGAGCCAAGATAGACAAGCGTCGACCAACCAGCGCGCTAGGCATCGTCCCTGCCCCCTGCCATCTGAGGTCCGTGCAGGATGGAGAGGTGCATGTAACGTTTCCCTGAGATTGAAACTCAAAAAAAGAAAAAAAAATTGGAAAGAAGCGAACAGAGAAAAGAGGGGACCACACAACACGTAGCTGCCAGACGGGAAGAAGAAGCTTGTGGCTTCGGCTACAATGGTCGTCTGCAGATTGGAGATTCGATACAGATGCCTACTGCCTATAGATGTCTAACTCGCGCCTTGGCCAAAGCTATTCCCCAGACTTCCGTCCTTCAAGACTGTCGGGAATAACCCGTGCTCCCACGTCTAAGACGTGTTACGGAGCAGGAGCTGACCTGACCGTGCCCACGGCCTGGGAACCGGCCAGTTGCATCGGCGACACGACGGGACTGATAGGCTCTTGCTCCAGTCGCCTGCTCCAGTCTTCCTCCTCGTGGGTTCGTTACACAGATAAGATTCTTGCATCGCACACGTTTCCCGCCCTACCTTACTTGCTACTTTGATTCTACTTCAGACTATCTGCGCTGTCACACAGCAGCATTTGGGCAGAGTGTCAGCTTTCAGTCTTCCGTACGTTAGAATGGCAATCAAGGCTCATCTCTATGTCGACGTCCAGGTCGGAAGGTGTGTCAGCAATCGACTCGATCTGAATACTCCGAGCCAGATCCTCTCACTATGGCCATCCTCAATCAAGCCACCCGCTGTTGCTCGGTTGCAGAATCTCAAGCTAGAACTTGGTCCACGCCTTGGGAACCGACCTGCCAGTCTTCCATCCCACGAGACCTGTATCTGATATCTGGACGTAACCACAGATATCTATCCATCTCTCCCCAGACGTATCTGACCGTTACTTCCCTTTACCCCACACAACCCAAAGGTTACATCCCCACCCATCCCATCGTCCAAGTCTCCACGGTCCTTTCCATCCCCAAACAATGGCTCTGGCAGACCACGGCGCAAGTTACAACGGCCGCCCGTTGATGTCTCGCCCATCAATGTGACATTTGCAGTAGACTTCTTCAGGGTCCATCCGGTATCCGAACCCACTGTATCCAACCCGCTGAAGGTCCAAAGAGGCGTGCCCAATCTTTCAAGTTCCCGGCGCGAGGTGTTTCCTGTTCCATGGAGCTGGGTATTGCGTGACAGGCGACTACATCTTGATCCAACTTTATCATGCCACCCATGTTACTTCTAACTCGCTGACGATTCGTCAAGGGCACATCACGGCATCGGCGATGTGAGTCTCATCCGGCCCTCCGGTCCCGGAAGCAAATCCCTCCGCCGAGTCTAGATGTTCTTGAACTTTCCGGTCGTTCTTTCAAGCGGAGTCCAACTGCCAGACTCCGAACAGGCAGATCATCGAAGCAGTGATTGACTGACACCTCACGTCTCCGGCACCGGTGCTTTGACGTCCTCAAACCTGGCATCCCCTCCTCGTCCCGCTGGGGCCCGGCTTCCATATCCGTCGAAACATGTAGCAATTTGGTGCTCCATTAGATGATCGTCGATACTTGCCTTGCTCCATGTTCCCAAGAGATCATAGTCGCTACCAAACAAGGCTAACGTTGGTCCGATGGTTTCCTTCACGTAGCCTTTTGTTCCACGTTCTCTTTAACAGTGGGAGGGGGGAAGTCGTGGGGCTCGAAAAGGAGCAAATTCTTGAAAAAATAGAGTCTTTGCCCTACGGCGCCGAGCCAGTGCACCATTAGATGGATACTCCATTCTGAAGCAGGAAATCTGCAAATTCTAGACTTGCTGCGATTCACTTGGCCTCCAGTCCCTCTCCAGGCACCGCTCTAAGCTGCCGGCCGTCTGTGTCCGGGCGGTGACCTTCCCGGGATCGGAGGGCCGGAGCCTAACCGAATCTCCGGCCCCCGAAACCTCCGTCAGAGGCCATCCCTCTCCACTATCTTGCTTCGGGCTGGCGACACAGTCTTGCGCAGCCACCGGCAAATGTAGACTTTCCACTTACTTTGATTTCGCCTCATGCTGCTGTCTTTACAACGCCCGAGACAGTATGACCAGGGATGAAATGTTCCTTCAGTCTTCTTATTTTCTTTGTAGGATGGTAGACCCGCAGTATCGCATGACTTGTCGGCCGTTCCTGGGCCTCAATCCTCACGGGGGGCTTTGAAGCGTCAACAGACATTGCAAGTCGGAGAGCGATGAATGAGATTAAGGACTATGTTACCGATGGATCTGCAGTGCCATTATCAAATTGGCCCAAACCAGGTGAAGAATCCCGCCGGCCTCCCACATAATCATATTTTCTTCACCGTCAATTCTTAGTCCTAGAAACCTTAAAAATGGCCGCCGGACATGTACAGACATCCCGTGCACCGAATTACATACGCATAACGACATACCCAGCAGGGGTATACCTTCTCTCCTCAGGGCGAGTCAAGACCAAGCCTCTACAGATAGAGTAGTTCTGAGGCTGAGTTCTCCCCAGGACATGACTGCCAAGCCTGGAGACGAACCACATTGATTGTGTCCATCAAACGAATACCGTCTTTACGAAATTAGACTTACTCGCGGAAGCTAATTTCTACCCGGGTAGGTTGTGTAAAGTCCGTGATATATGCGAAGTATTGGCGGGTACATCAGCGTGTATAACTCCATAAGGGTCTGAAGAAGATATAAAAGAGCAAGTCTATCTCCCCGGCCTGAGTCTCAGTCGGTCTATCGACTCAAGCTTTACACTCATTCCGCCCACTTACAGCCATCCTTCAAGCCTTCCGCTTCCGAAGCCCTTCTCTTACACTCAACTCGTAGCCACACGCCAAGATGCATTTCTCCGTCGTCGCCCTCCTCTCCCTCTCCGCCCTCGCTCTTGCGGCGCCGCAGGCCAACGTTGCGCCTACGTGCGGCAGAGATAGCGACTGCACCAGCTTCTGCAGCGGAGGACCATGCACGAAGCCGTTCTGCGGGCTGTCTGCTTTTGGGTACGTCAAGAAAGAGAGAGAGAAATGTTCTCTGGATTCTTTTTGGAGATGAGAGAACAGAAGATGCTAATACTGGGTAATTTAGTGACGACCGCTGCTTCTGTGGAGGATGCTAAATGGCACGACTAGGTTGAGACGGAGCTTTTGCTCGGCAAGATGATACCCGTACATATTATGGAGGTGACGCAAGGATTTTTCATACATGTATGTATGCGCTGCCATGCTTGATGCACTGTATGTGAGCCACTGCTTGGAGGCATTGGTACCTTGGAAGGGGCGCATTGTGATGTGACGACTCAATGAACACGTCACGGACGACGTTTGCCTGGACCAGAATGTGCACCAATTATTTTCAAATACAAAGTTGTCTATCGAATGCAACATGACGGTTCCGGGAGAAAATATATCTCGAGATATCTATACCTGAACGAAGCAATTATCATGTTTCGGAGTTGATATTGGGTCTATCTGGATTCTGGTATTGCTTTAACACGACGTGTCACACTGAATCTTCTCTTCTAGGGTACCTGGCACGCCTGGGTATTAATACCTGCTGACGTTGCGCGCCACCCACCTTACCCATGCACGGGTCGCTGCTGACAAAGCTCCGCCGGATAAAGCCCGGTTGGCTTCCGCAGCTCAAGGTCGGATCAATCGAGCTTTCTCCTTGTGCTCTGCAACATTCGATGTTCGCGCGAATGTCCGCACAACAGTTGCTCTCATCATAGAAGTCCATTGCATTGAGCGACAAGATGGACACGCTCTCATGGATGTTCCTGGCTTTTGCCATTTACATGCTCGCAAAAGTACGTACCCCACAGCAGGCCTCACGACGGAGCCGCTGCCTCACCCCTCTTCATGAGATGTCCATGGCTATCCTCCCTAAACGATACCTCAAATGTGAGTGCCGTGCTGCTAACTAATCAACTCTATAAAGACACTATTCGCAGACCGCTCGCCCATCCCCGAGACATCAGGCAAAGTCTACAAAGTCACCAGCGCCGGCGAGCTAGACGCCCTCCTCGCCTCCACCACCAACGTCGTCGTCGACTTCTACGCCGACTGGTGCCCGCCCTGCCGCGCCATCGCGCCCGTCTTCTCCGGTCTGGCCGACAAGCACGCCGCGGAGGGGAAGCTCGCGTTCGCCAAGGTCAACGTCGATCACGTCAACAACGTCGCTGGCCGCTACGGCGTCACTGCCATGCCGACGTTCATGTTCTTCCAGAAGGGAAAGCCTACGGGTGTGGCTGCCAAGGGAGTGACGCCTCGTCAGTCGGTTGTGTTCACTGAGGATGGCCGCGTCGACAAGATTCGGGGCGCGGATCGGGCTGCGTTGCAGGCTGTTGTGCAGGCGCTGGCTGGTGAGGGAGAGGATGCGAAGGAGTGATGAGAGTCAGGATTGGCGTGTGCGGAAAGTTGGACCTTTGAAGGAATACTTCTGCCGAGGGTTCGAATAGCCAAACAGTGGATCCGAATGTCAATGAGCGATTTTGAACGGAAAATACTGAAAGTGTGTTGATGCTTCAGAGGCCAGTGTCTTGACTCAGGAAATGTTACTTGACCTTGGTGATCACATCCTCATCTTCGAGATCGATTTATGGATTCAACAATGACAGCAATCCAGGTACCCTAGAATGGATGCCTGTCGGTCTTTCCTTGTCCCGGTCAGGGATGTATACGGCAGAATCGGTTAATTGAGCTAGCGGTGGGACCCCGAGTCATCTAATTCGCGAGGCAGTTAGAGCAACAAGGGTGAAGATGTGGGCTAGGCAGCTTTCGAATGTCGCTCATGCTGACATGTTTATTTAGTCGAACCTCACTAAGATAATCGACTGACGTCCCATTGCCACTAATGTTCACCAGACACTTCTATGTGAGAAGCGACTGGTACCGTGTGTAGACATATCGTGAACCAGCTTTCGAGGCATCGACACTGAGTCAACCCGTCACGATGGCTTCCTCTCGCCCCACCAAAGTCCTCAGCGTCGGGCTTCCTCGCACGGGGTCCTACTCCATGATGCTCGCCCTCACCGAGCTGGGTTACAAGGACGTCTACCACGGCCTCAATGCCATCGACAGCCCCGATGACTGGCGCTTTTTCGGCCGTGCCTCCGACGCCCTATTCCCGACATTGCCCTCATACACCGGCAAGGGCATGACCACCGCCGACTGGGACCACATCTTTGGACCCTGCGAAGGCATCACCGATATCGCGGCCCCCTTCACACCATCGCTCATCGATGCCTATCCTGAAGCGAAGGTCGTTCTCGTCATCCGGGACTACGAAAAGTGGCGCGTATCGATGAAGGAGGTCATCTCTGGCATCTTTGGGCCCCTGACGTGTTTCATCCGTGACTACGTCGAGCCCATGATGGGCGCAGACAGCGCGGGGAATATCCAGAAGATGATGCTGGGTTGGGTGGGAGCAAGCGACGTTCCCGACCTGGAATTGAAGCTCGGCGAGGTCTATGAGCGCCACCACAAGTACATCATGTCGACGGTCCCCAAGGAGAGGTTGCTTGTGTACAAGCTCGGGGAGGGCTGGGGTCCCTTGTGCGAGTTCCTCGACCTGCCAGTGCCGGACATGCCGTTTCCGCATGGGAACGAAGCTGCAGCGCTCAGAAGCAAGATCTTTGACAAGCAAAAAAGAACAATTCTGGAAGCCGGTGCTCGTTTTGCGCCGTGGCTTGTCGGCGCTGCTGCTGTTGCCGGAGGGCTGTGGTATACCCTGTCAATGTAGTGGGCGGAGTGTGGCGGTGTGCTTAGTTGTCAAGAGCTGCTTTGCTTCACACTACGGCGGTGGCATCACGTCTTTTGATAAGCCTCTTGACCGAGAAGTGGTTGGCTATATCTTGTAGGAATCCGATGGGAGGATCAACCTCGCTCAGCAGCTCCTCGTACGCGGTTATTCGAGGGGCATCCCACACGAGGTCGACCTCGTCCGGCCGCAGGGTTTTCGTACCCTTGTAGCACTTCCAGAGACAGAACAGAAGAGGCGCTAGAAGAACCATCGTGTAATGTATGAAGAAAGAAGCTGGGTCAAACGGACTGAGTGACCGGTAGCCGTAGCAAATCACGACACATGTCATCCAGATCAGGCCAATGTACGCGCTATACGGCTGAAACCGACCGATGTAAGGGAGACGAGAGCGGTCAAAGTTTTGCGTCTTGCAGGCCCTGTGAAAGCAGTTGTATGTGACGCAAATGACGATGTAGTCAATGATAGTTGCCGCGGTTGTCAGCGAAATCAGCCAGTCGAGTACCTTTGCCGACGAGCTCGAGAGCTGCAACAACGAGAAGAGAGGAAAGGCCATGACCACGGTAAGGCAGTAAATCGGGGCCCCCTTCTTCGTCGTCTTGGTCAGGAAGCGCGGGGCCCTCCCCTCGAGTGCCAGACCATAGAGCGTTCTTGTAGAACAATAAGTATAGGCGCTGCCGGCCGAGAAAATGGTGGTAGCCAAGAAGAAAGTAACAACGTGAGGCAGGATACCGATGCCGAGGTTGCCCATCGCGATGATATAAGGCGATGCAGCCGCGCTGCCAGTGGAGCCCCCTTTTCCCGTGTAAATCGCGACGAGAGTCGGATCCTTATGACTGACGACGATCCCAGCGGCCAGGGCGCTCCCAACAAAGAAGATCCAGATGCGCCAGTAGACTGCTTTGAAGGCCGTCTTCACGTAAATACGAGGATGTTTGGCTTCGGCGGCCATCATTGAGACGTATTCGGGTCCGACGCAGGTGAAGGATGCGGTCCAAAGGGCGGACAGGAAGCCTTCGAATTTCCCGAGGGGCCCGGTGCTGACGTATTCGGCAAAGTAACCGGCGGACCAGGCTCGGAAGCCGTAGGCGTCGTGCTGCGGGTTACCTCCCGCCATAGTGATTAGAGTAAAAGCCAGAAGCATCGCGAGCAGAATGACTTTGCCGCCGGAGAGGTAGAATTCGGCTTCTCCGTAAACGCCGACGGCAAAAACGTTAATGAGGCTAAGCAATAATGTTAACTTTGCTCTACAGCCTCGGGCTCTTCCTGACACAAATAAGGACCACAGCGAGCACCGAGGAAACATACCCATAGAGTATAATGCACCCAACGCAAATCGCGTAGACTGGAATTTTGTCGTTCCAGTACGAAACCACCAGCGTCAAAGCCACAATCTCGAACGGTATCAGAAAGACTTGGTAGAAGAAGAAGTTCCAGCCGGCCATAAAGCCGAACGCATCGTCGACCCATTTCCCCGCAAGTCGGACAAACCCGCCGCTTACGGGCATGTAAACAGACATCTCGGCCATGCAGTTATTGCACAGCGAGAGAATGATCGTATAGATGACAAACGCCAGAAGAAGGCTGCCCGGACCGGAACGCTGAAGGGCGCCGCCCATACTGACGAAGACGGCCGTGCCTATGGAGCCCCCGATGGCGACGAGCTGGACCTGGCGGTTACTGAGGCGGCGGTGGAGGCCATCGGTGACTATGGGTACTTCTTCGGTCTCGGTGCGTCGAGTGGAGGTGTTGAAAGGATCTTCGATTGAGGGTTTGGAGACCACCGTCTGGCCAACGATGGGCTTGGTCGAGTGCGTTGGTGGAGTTGACATGGTGAATAATCGTTGATGGAAGAAGGCTTGGCATGGCTTTCAATGGAAGAACAGGAGGGTAAAAGGGCGGGGATCTTCACAGAGCAGAGTTTTCCCAATATCAAGCCGTGGGGCCAGCAAGGTGCGAGGCGGTTATTCGAGTTGGAGGCTTTGGTGGCAGTTCTTAGGAGTGGCTATTCTCGTGGACATTCGCGGATTGCCCAGGACTCTCGCCATTATACGGTCTGTAGGATTTTATGGCGAAGTCTGTAGCTGGATATACAAGGCACCGAGAGGAGGTGATGATCATCTGGGAAACCAGTGACAACAAAAAGATTGGAATTCTCTTCATTGTTTGCAGTTTGAGTAACGAGCTTGGGTCGACATGAATTACTCTCACACCAAGCCGATGAAGGCCAGATTGGTTGACCGTGGCGGAATGGTCACGGATTGGGGGCATTCTCAGTTCCGCCCACTCTGAGGCTATGGACTTGTCTTCTCTGTTAAGTCACGATGAAGATAGTTCATATCTAATTTCACTACTGGT